TCTATGCTGTTCGCTTTTAAACCTTTTTAACAAGTAGAGAAATTGATAGCGAACAGCATGGATCCTTATCAGACTGCGCGGATGCGTAGGCTGGTCTGGATCCATGCTGGTCGCAAACGCACTATGTTGGTTTTGTCATGACGCGGCTCATATCACATCTCTTTCAAATGCGAAAGACAAAATTGATCTAAAAATATAAATTATGAGCCATAATATAAAACATTTTGAAATGCGACGATACTCAACACATAGTGACCAACATATTTTAATATTCATTCATTACATTAATATGCCACACGATAAAATTACATACATCTTATTCTTTATAACAGTAACTTTTCACTATCTCAACTTTTATCATGGAGGTGGATAAAATATTTGTTTTACTACACTGTAAAAAATGGTAACGCCTGACGCGTTCCACAGGTGTTTGTTAACAAAACGTATGTGTTCTCGTTGTGTGCAGTATAAAAACACATGCGTTTCTTTATGGAGCGGGTGTTTATAACTAAAACAGTAATGTGCAGTGTTTAAACGGTTGGTGTTTATATTGGCATGCCTGTGTGCAAACATGAAACGTTTGTGTTTACTTTTATGTCATAAGCTCATCTCGTCTTTTGATTATTTATAACAAATAAAACAGAAACATAACAGTTAACAGAAACATAACAGTAAGGATAAGACAATACGAATGTTTAGAAATGTTTAATGCGAAAGTGTCTCTGTCTTAAACGCCGGTGTTTCAGGGGGGAACATTTTGCGTATGTCATGAGTGCCGATCAAGAACACCCTCTGATATTATCCGAGGTGTTACGAATTTAACTTCCTTTCTCCTGCTGCAGCCGGAATTTTTGGCGCAAATTTTACCTTTCTTCATTTTTGTGTAAATTTAGCAAGGAAAACATAGAAAAACAACAGCAAAAGGTTAGAACGATGTATTTATGTATTTGTAGATCAAATTCAAAGGTTGAAAAGGCAAATCTTTTTAAGACGGGCGCAAAAAAGCATTTTCATCAACCATAAAACTGATTTCCCCACCCACTTTGGTATTTCAAGAATATAGTCAAAACATATTCAAAATAACATGCTACTGTCCTTTGATATCATTTTATCAGGCGAGGCAGATATGGGCTAGAAAGGGCGAGGCTTGTCGAGCAAAATAATCCGGCAAAATAAAGATATCAAAGAAAATCGTCTAGCCTGTTTGTTATGATTACATGTATCATAGTATGACGTGAACATTGATGATGTCATTTGCAACATAAATTATGACGTCACTTCATTTAGTTGGAGAAAGTGGATCTAAACATATTGGATTATTGCTCTAAAATCAAAATGTTTAGGCAGTTACGGGCTTAATTAATTAAGAAATATAGACATGCTCTGTACCATTCATGCAAGAGAATATTATATCAGTGATATTTTAGATATTCTAAACAGCAGATTATGCTGTGCATAATGTCAGACGTTTTCTAACTACATAATAACATATTTATACATGTAGATCTCATGAAGGAACTTGTATATTTTAAGATGTTTAACACATTGTGACATATAATGGGAATCAAACAACATTTAATTCAATGCCTTGGTCACCAAGAGTCAAGACCAGCACAAAATTATGATTCCAAAATTATATTGATTCCCTAATTGATAATTATTTTGTTCATACTTAGAAAGCTTAATCAAATAATCTTTCCTAATAATTATCTAAAATAACTTTTAAAATTCAACAAAAGCTACCATTTTGTTAACTAATTTATTAAAACACCATATAGTTTAATTCTGTAGAGCACTGTCAACTGAAGTTTTGCACCTTTCTGTTAGTCTGTTCATAATTTTGCTTTCAGGATGACTCTAAAGTGGCAGTGCTGAAGACTTTAGAATCAGAAACAGCTAACAGAAATAGAAAGGACCAGAAGACTACGCCTTTGATGCAAATAATTAAGGTAAGGGTGTTAGATATTCAAATCTTTTAATGTCCTAAAACCTTTTTTATGTGACCAGCTGTGATTCAGTGATTGGCATGTCTGTACATCTGTGTGTACATATTTTACATCAAAACTTTGTAGGGAGTATACCTTAACATCTTATTACTATAATTATCAGCATGTCATATTTGGCATGCACACTTGTTTGATAAATAATTAATGCGAGTTTTATTTCAAAACAGATTTATGTAGGTAAACTAACAAAGAATAAATAATTTCCATGGTAGTTGTCACTTGATGATAACGCTTAAAAGATGCTTTTAACATTGAATGATATCTAAGGTTTATACAAATGCTAACAGTTTTTTTTAAAAAACTGATGTTTAAAAACTATCAATATTTGTTTCAGCTTGAAGATGATGGGAATTTTGGGAGACTTCTTTCTTCTGCACCAGAGTCGGCACCAAAGTTGGTTGCAATTGAGAAAGATAAACGAATTGTGAACATGGCTATTGTTTGTGATGGTACACACATTCTTCTAGAGACAGCCGATTCAAAAGAGGCCAAAGCTGTGTTGATTGGTTTGGTTTACCTTGCAGACCTAGATTATCCAAAGGCATATTCACAGGTTGGTTAAAACAAATTTTCAACACATTTTAAATATTATAACTCACTTCTGTTTTTAATGCTAAATTTCTATTGATCAATTATGTAATATTGTAATAATAAGTCACAAAATTTTGGTTGATGCACATGCTCATTGAAAAATGGAGTCATTGGAGTCATTGGCATCACATTATAAAATGACATTTTGCACTGTTCACACCACTGGTGAAGAGTGCTTCAAACTTCCTTCATAAAATTGCATTGACTTGTCCATGTGTATGTGATTCGTCTATCCGACTTTTATGCTTGTTTTTGTTGATGTCAGTTTCAGTGCACCAAGATCTCTTTTGCGAGTTACTTTATTTAAAGGAAAGAATCGAATTGATCTATCTAAAAAAAATAAATACCCACACTAACATTGTCCTTTCAGAAAAAGAATGTTACCGCGTGTTTCCCAGTTTTATGTGATTTTGTGTTCTAAATCACAATTTCAAAAACTTTTTCCCCAAAATTTGAATCATTACCATGTTTGATGAATACGGATTTCTGCAACTGCTTAACTTCTTATTCTCATATGCTACTATGAATGAACTATGTATGTATACACAGGTGCGTGGGTTCCTTCAGCAAACTGAACTTCAGCAGCAGTTTGATGGGCATAAGAGCTACGGATTTGTTCAATATTTAAAGACAGTGAACTCCGAGATGGAGAGGAAAGAAAAGAAGCCAATGTGACTTAAGTGATCCAGCTTTCATAAAAGGAAAAGTTGAACTTTACTTTCATTTGGATAATTATCAGTTTACACTTATTCAGAAGTATGTTTTACTATTCAGCACTGAGATAAGTCAAGCACGCTGTCTTACATACAGCTCTTTTTGGACTTGGGTTAATATTATAGCACTTTGGTTAATATTATAGCAATGTTGGAAATTTGTGTGCAATTTAAAGTACTTTCATAGTTTATTGTAGGAATGGCAACAAATACTGATTTTGGTATTCGAATATTTGTATAGAGCATTCAAATGTTATCCAATATTTGAATATTCGTATAAAAATTGTATGCATCCAAATTTGTACAATGCACTATGATCAATAAGTTTTCCTGTTGAATTGAGAATTTTTATTCTCTTTTTTTGAGAGTCGTTGATGATGCCTTAATATGTAACTATTCACAATCTTCATCATGAGTATTTTTTAAGAACTGATTTCATAAATTAGATGTGATATTTGCCAGCTGAAGGCATTATTGAGGGGTGAACATCTCATCATATTTAATGACTTGTAAATCCATAATTGTTTTATCCTATGTTTTGTTACAAAGATAAATTGTTTCATTAACTGTAGTTTTTTTGGATTGCAAGTAAATCAAAAGTTACTAAGTACATACTTTTTATTATATTTATTTATTTTATGTTTATCACCGACTGTACTTAATGCTGATCATGAATTATTAATATATTGCTTCTGATCAACTATGTTAATTACAGAGGATGACTGTTGCACAATCCATTTATATAAATAGCACTGTAAGATTTCATGAAAAAACACATATATTTTATAAAAAGCGAATGATTTTAACCAATAGAAATCTGGCTATTTTAGTACAAATTAATAATTTCATATTTCTTGCAACAGATGTTTGATGATGTCATAATTTTTAGCTTGATTATTTAAAAAATGGGAAGGCAATAGCTTAGCAGCTGATCCTAGCATTAGTGTTGCATGACACAATGTTAAATGTTTTAGACAAAGAAAGACAACCAGTTCTGATATTTATTTGGAACTTCACCACACATGTTTTGTATGTAAATATAAGTTCACATAAAAAGACCAATAACTCTGTTCTGCATTTTGACTAAATGATGTTCCTTTTAGAAAATTCTGCATATGTAAAATTATGTATTTTTTGTGTGAAAGATGTATCTCCAGTCATAGAATTTTAGCCGAAACTTTGTACATGTGTTAGATACGAAAATATTATTTACCAATACCCATTCAAGGTAATGCATTTGATTGAAATATGCCTCATTTCGGAGTAAATGCATTGGGAATAGTGCAGGCATCATCGCATGTTGTCGCTCTAACAGCTCATTTCATACTTCATTAGCATTTTGTAGTTACAATAGGCTGTACATGTATTTCCTTAGTTGTTTTGATCTTACCTGAACATATACAGTAAACACGTAATGCATTTGAAATTGAAATATGTGACATGTTTATCAGGAACGCTTTGAAAAACAGCACACGTGGGTTCTGAAACATGTTGCAAGTTCCAGTTTGAAACACCAAACGTGTTTACTGTACATGTTCAGGTGTTCCCAAACTGTAACATTACAAGTGTTCTGCTATGAAACATGTCACATGTTTCAGTTTGAAACACCAGGAAGCGTGTAAAACAGGAACATTTGTGCGTTTATTCGTGAACATGTGACGTGTTCCATTCTATAGTGTTTCCAAAGTGTAACAGGAAAAGTGTTTCGAAATGTGTTTAAAACTTAAACGCCCGTTTTTACAGTGTAGTAATTAAAACATATTTAGACCGCCTCTGTGGTCGAGGGGTTAGAATCGATGACTTCTAATCCAGTAACCTCTCTGGCGTGCCTATATGACTGAAATACTGTTGGGAAAAGGCGTAAAATGAAACAAACAAACAAACAAAAAAACATATTCAAGATGCCCACACATCGCGTAACATGACGTTTGTCAAACGTAAGGAGAGAAACAACGTTTAAAAGATGAAAAAATAAAAACTCATTATAATCGAAAGAGATTTATTTTCTATGAATTCGCTGATAAAGAGACAAAAAGAGAAAATGACTGAAAAGCGTGCCAAGCTCATTTTAATGAGATATTTTTTAATATCATTCACTTTTTTTTATTTGCGTGACAAGAAAACACAAATCGTATGAAACAAAGCAATATGGAAGATTAATGTTTTGTCTAATTCAACCTCACTTAATTTTGGTACATTCTTTAGGAGGAGGTTAATCACGGCAACCTTTGAACTGACGTGGATTCATGTTGTATTTTTTGATTAAAATGACTTGTATTGTCTTGTTTCAAGAGTGTTCTATGAAAATGTCATAGAATAACATGCTGCGTTACTGCTCGTTTTTTCAAACATGGTACCGAGTCGAAATAAATACGAAACTTCAAAACATATCAAAATATGATATAATTTTATGTAATCTAAGTGAATGTCAGTTTACCGGAAAGTACTATAAAGTCATATTTGCAAACAGATGTGAATGACATTATAGAACCAAATGTTCTCTTTTAATCTAATCAGACAATGTAAAGGAATGTTCTGTACAGATATAATTTAAACAGAAGATAACCCTTTAACGCACAAAATTAAAAAAAAATTAAGGTTTTGCAGAATCGGTTCGAGTAAACCTGTTCGTGATAAGTGCGAGCTACCACCCACGCTCCTTAGCACCAGTTATGTTATGCCGGGATCATTGATTCCAGAACTTCTAAGTGTTGAAAATTGAGTCTCACCCCAAGCCGGTGCTGGGGGGGGGGGGGGGCTTGAGCGTCGTTGAACCTTTTCATTAACCCTCATGTACAGACTCAATCAAGCCGAGTCTACCATTTTTATGTAATTTTCTTGCGATTAATGCTTCCAGGATCACACTTCATCCAGGTTTTATTCAACATTTGGACATTACAAAGCCAAAAATAGAAAGAAAGAAAGAAAGAAGAAGCTGAACTTAAATGATTGTTACGAACCAAGGCGTCCTTTCTGATTTCCAGTGAATATGTGACTTTTCTTATAGAATTATAGCTGAATCTACAGCACGGAACGTACCTTTTTTTTTTTTGAACATCCACAAAAATTTCGGGAAAAAGGTGACACACTTTTTTGGAGAAAAGGGGAGACACTTTTTAAGGGCCCATAACTTTTACATAAATTGACATAAATACCTTTTTTGAAATACACATTACCAGGCTTTTGTTTTACTTTTAACATGAGAAAGTCGAGCAGCTGGCAAACCGACAGGGGTTGTTTACAGAAGGGCACTTGGGTTGTACCCATTAGATATAATTTATTTTAAATATTTTGCTCTTTGTATATATAATTTATTAAACGTGTAATTAGATTTATCTGTCATGTAAAATATCGATCATTCGGGGGTATTAGCATCCTTTGAATATCTACATCTCTTGTACTTTCTAGACACATGGAATATGATAAACAAGATCAACAAGAAAAGGCGGCGTTCAATGAATGCAACCCCCGTGCGACTCAGCTACAAGAACCAGCGACAAGGAGCCCAGGAGGAATATGTTTAGAGAATGAAGTGTATCACATTATGAATATCTTTAATTAGAATACTGGACAAATTTGATATAATCTAGGTCAAGTACTAGTACAAGTCAACCTCAATGATGTAATTTTAAAACCCATATGAAGTTTTCGAGAGAGTAATATCATAAAAAGCAAAAAGGTTGAAAAATTAGATACTTTGTTAAATTGAGTAATATCATCAAAGATGAAGGAAACAGCAACCTAAAAAGGAGAAAAATGGAATTTCTAAAGAACGCAGGCTCGGCTGAAAAGTGCAGCCCACCAGCACTAAGTCAGAGTGGTAAGGCAAAACAACAAGAATCACCACATATGTTTGACTTCCAGACCTCCAGTTAAATGGTGGATTTTACTCAGGTCTTTACAGTTTTTTGACTGAATGAGCTATCAATGTACGTCATATTTATATGGCGGCCATTTTGAATGAGCAGATATTGAAAGTTAAAAGGTCTAAAGATGATTTCCTGAAAGATTCATGCTTGTATTACCATTTGCATATTTTTTCAATTTCCCGCCACAGTGTCACAAGTTGCAGGTAAGACACAGTGTTTTGTACTTTATTTTCATATTCATAACTATTGAAAGTCCTGCTGGTGTGACTGGGTTGTGTAGATAGGCTACGCATTGCTGCCCTTATTTTTTACGGAATGTACACATTTTCCTTTTTGCTGAAACCGTATCTATCGCTTGAAAATGAACAGTTGCAATTTTTATGTCAGTCAAGATTGGCTCAATCAAACCGAGCCTGCAACATTTTAAGTTTTGCCGTTTTGAACGTAATGTTTTAGTCTTAATTTTATTGCTGTAAAAATGGACATATTAAGATATTGTTTCAATATCAAAAACGGTGTAATTCAATCATCTGTACTTTTACTACCTATTCTAATTAATTGTCGCGATTTATTTTTAGAAAAGAGATCAAAATAATAGTGACACCGGAGACATTTAAGTAATGAAATAAAAATAACATACGAGAGGTCAAATTGAATTAGTTTGAGCCATCCTGTTCCCAAGAGGAATTGCATAATTGATCTATCTGATGATAATTTTAATTAGAAAAATGTAGAGAAAATGATTAATGTCACAAATATACATGTGATTAAATGAAAATCCATAATTACTTCACAAACAGTATTGTAATAACAATTACGGTATTATATAAGTACATTTTTGCAGATATGTTTGCTAAATCGTCAGCAAGCACAAGATCACTATCGAGAAAGTAAAAAAAATCTTGAAGTGTACATGTTTGTTACATTACTAGACTCTGAATTGTTTGAGAATATACGAAATGTTCTTCAGTTAATATATCATTTATTTAAATTCGTATTTGTCTTTTATGACTTTAAGACAAGTAAACAGAAAAAAAATACTTACCATTATAATTAAGGTAAATATTTTGAGGAACGTTATTAAGCTATTACTATTTATATAAATATGAAATTAGACTCACAAGAAGTAGAAAATGCGCCTGTCCCAAACTATGATCTCAGTTTCATTTTGTAATTACTGTGATTTATCCAGACGAAAAAACAAATTCTTTTCATACAGCTGAAATTTAGAGCAATGTTGGAGTGTCGGTTTGATCGAGCCTGTTCATGGACAGAACTGGAAAATGCAAGTTACCGTCCATACGCCCCCTAGCACCGGCTTTAGCAGAATTCAACATTTAAACATGAAAATGATGAAATTTTGAATACAGAAACATCCGCAGATGTGTTCATACGGCGGTCGCCATGGAATATTCAATGTGACGCGTTAGTGCCATTCCATGAAAAGCGGCGTATATCATGACGTGACAAATATGTCATCATAAACCGTTGTTAATGGAATAATGTAAGACGACCACGCTCTAAAGTTTAATATACGTCATCAAACCGAGTAAGAATTTATTAAAACTCCCACAAAATTATGACTATAAGTGTGGCTCTATGCGCAGTTGATTAATAATAAATTAAGTTTTTTAGCAGAAGTTGCACGAAATCCTTCAATTGTTTTATTATAGTCAGCTTTATGTTGATTTCATCTTCCGAAGATATCGCTTAGTATAAATAATTTACGTGCAAATGGAACTAAACTATTGCACTGATTTGATCAACATAAACGTTAGGCGTTTAAACCGATGAAATTCTCCTGGTACATGATGTAATATGTCATGATAGAATATTATGAATATTGAAATGACAAAAACAATTAATGTAATGGGGACATTTGATAAATCTGCAAAGGAGAATACTATGGAAATATACTACTTGTTTACAGATTTAGAACTGATTGATTGATAATGAAATACTCTATTCTATTTACTATTTACTACTAGAAGTGTGTACTATATGTACTTTTATAGGAGTGATGTCGATGAGGGTAGGAGTATTTACAAATCTTTGATTTGTGTGTACCTTTTATTTTTGTTATTGTGCACGCAGTTAATAATTTTGTGAATTTTTTGTCTGAAAAAAGTGAAAAAAAACACACACAAACAAAATGACAAGCTTTTAGCTGTATAAATCTAGAATGTATATTTAAAATTTACTTGTTGTAAATAAAACGTATTGAATTTCATACTATGCAATGTTTATTAGTATAATTTGATAGAACTAATGATAACAAACAGATACATTGCATATTAATTTTTTGTCGAGACTTAATGAATTCTGAATTATTAAGAAAATTAGTATAAGTATAGGATACTGATTGAATTAAACATATTTTATTGCCAAAAATAAGGCATATACATACATGTTAACAGTTACAATACAATGACACGACATATTT